GTTTCTTCCTTTGGTATCAGATGATCACTGCTCACAGTTGCCCAAAGTTTCTGCTGTACCCATTAAGTTTGTTTATTAAGTTTGTTTTTTTGTCTATTGGTAGGAGGGCAGGGGAAGCTTGGAAAGAGGGTAGCATTCTTGTTCTCTCACTTCTTTCTATTCTGGGGTTTATTGGTCTCCTTCCTTACTACCTTCAGGAAGAACTTGCTTCTCCATGATCTCAGTCACGGCTGTACTGAAGTGTTCAGGGGGTGGGGGTGGGAGGAATCGAGAATATGACTGACTTCAGGGGCAGTTCCAGTCTAATGAAAATCTTATAGTCAGAACACAGAAACAGACCCAGAGAGAGGACAAGAACAAAACTAGGAGTGGGGCAGCTTTGCACATTGGTATTGGGTTGGGGAGGTGGGAGGGAATGTACTGTTAGGTGTAGCCATGGGGTTGGAATGGGTTAGAGAAGGTGTTCCAGACATACTATATAAAGGGGGGACTTGGGAATGATGGGAGATTATAGGGCTGGGCAAATAGCAGCACAGAGGAGGGAGGGAAGTTAAGTGGAGACAGGGACTGTAAGAGACATTAGTAAGAGTTGTTAGTAGATGACAGAACTGCCTCTGTGGATGTTCTGTATTCAGTCCTTGGAGGACTGCAAAGGAGAGGTCTCCCATACCTGGGGCAGCAGGAGGGCTAGAAATGGTCTTTAGCCATTGTAATACCCTCAGTTGAGAGGTTGGGGATGATTGAAAGTCCTTGATTCGTAATCCCTTTGGGGGAAATGTTGTAGATGAGTTTAGGAAGGGCGATACCTTCACTTCTCAAGTCTTCTAGCTTTAGCCCTGAAGGAGAGAATTAACTACAACTCCCAGCATCGCCTAGCCCTTATTTAATACGCTTTCCGGGGATTTGAGTATTTCCGGCGGAAGTGCCTGGGGATGGGCCAATCTCCTTCCCTGAACACAGTAGACTACGATTCCCGCCGTCCTCCGCGCCCGGGGGCGGGGTGAGGAGTCGGAAATCAAGTAGGGAGCTGGACCAGGTGAGGAAGCAGGACCCTGGGAACCTGGGGCTCTAGGGGCAGGCTCCGGGCTCACAGGGTCCTGGGGTGGCGGCAGGCGGGGCCCATAATTGTGTTTTTGGGGCTCCTCGTTCTGTTTGTGGCTCGCCCCCGGTGCAGGGAGCGCAGAGTCTGTGGAACTGCCCCGGAGCCCTGAGGGAACTAGGCTTTCTCTTTCCGCGGAGCCCGTGGGCGGACAGTTCTCTCTCCCTTTCTCTCCTTCTCTCCCTCCCTCCCTCCCTCCCTCCCCTTCTCTCTCTCTCTCGTTTTTTGTTTTTTGGTTTTTTTTTTGTAAAGAGAATTAAGCCTTAATTTCCTTATTTTACAAATAAAGTTGGCTGAGCTGGTTGCTAGCAGAGGTTTCCTGTGGAGCTTTAGTCGTCTGCCTCCTCGGAACAAGGAGGAAGGTTTAAGTGGTATTTTTTAGTCCATTTATTATTATTATTAATTATTATTTTATAATTAATTATTTGCTGATTGTCCCTGTGGGTTCCTGGAGTGCCCCATAAGTCACAGGGCACTGTTCCTTAACTTTCTGGATTTGGTGTCATAAAGCCTAGGTGGCCAGACTTACCACTGGATCACTCTCCGCTTCCTTTGCACATTGTAATTTATAAAGTATATGTTTCTGAAGTCCCTGGCTCTTGATGACTTTAGATAGGACTTCCAAGTTCCTCTTTTGGGCTCTTATAGAATTTTGTTTGGGACATTAAAGCTCGAAGCACGGTGTGTTACCGTTGTTCATCTGTTGTCTCGGTAGTTTATGAGCCTGGCCTACATTTTTTTTTTCATTTTGGATTTCTTCTCCACCAGGAGAAAGACGTTACAGTGCCTATTATGTAAGAGATTCATAAATATTGAAAAAAATAAATGAGTTAACTACTGGTGGCAGGTGGAATCTCTCATTTTCATGTCATAGGTAGGAGAGTTAAATGATTTTTTAAAAGATTTTATTTATTTTTAGAGAGGAAGGGAGGAAGAGGGAAACATCAATGTGTGGTTGTCTCTCGCGCGCCCCCTACTGGGGACCTGGCCGGCAACCCAAGCGTGTGCCTGGACTGGGAATCTAACTAGTGACTGATTCACAGGCCGACACTCGAACCTCTGAGCCATAACAGCCAGGGCAGGAGAGTTAAGTGACTCTTTAAGAGAGCCTCCTTAGAGTAGAAACTAAGAATTTGAGTAAAATGACACCCAGCCTGTTGCTTTTGCTGTCAGATCAGGCTTAGAAACCCTGAAACACTGAAAATAAGGCCTCGTTACTTTGTGTACCCCCAGCCTTGCTGTCTCCAGCATAGATCTCTAAAGATCAAAGGTAGGTCCATCTTAAGGTTTGGGAGAGATTCCACATCTGGAGCAGGCAATCCACTACTGTTGATGCTACATGGGGAGATGGAAAGCAAGGGCCCCTGAGACATTTGAGTTCTCCACAGCTTCCTTCTCAGAATGTGTTTGAGTCGAGTTGGCCCTGGGTAGCCACCTGTATAGATCAATTAAAGACTTCTGAGATCATTCTGGGGAAGGACTTCCTAAGTTGGGTCCCTGATTTTTTTTTCTCTTTCTCTTTTCCTCCAGGCTAGGGTCAGAGAACAGGTTGATGGATCAAGCCATTGTGTCAACCCCAAGTTCCTATCTGGGTTATTTTTAACGTGGGCAAGGGTTTGAGAGGGAGAAAGAACCATGGTCTTCCCTATGGGAGGTCCAGATATGATGGAAACATGCCCAGAGCATGGCAAGCCCTGGGAAGCAAGCAGACTGCAAGTGGGCAGCTGAGCCTTCACTGAATCAGGATGTGTAGGAGTGGAGAGCAGTGCATCAGGAAAGCCTCCTTGGTAGAAGGTAGTTTTAAACAGGGATAGACAGCTGAACACGTGTTTGTTGACTGCATAATAAGAGCTAGGACCTTGGCTATAGGGAGGGAAATTGAATAGTGACTGGCCTCTGATCTCAAGGTATGAATTCACAAAGCCGCTAACCATGGTGACACACAATGATTCTCAGCCTTCACCAACCATCAGAAACACCTGGGGAAGCTTGTTCAAAACAGAGATTCCCAAACCCCATGCCAGACCGACTCATGGGGGGTGAGGATGGGAAGCTATGGAAAATTCTGCAGTATGTTAAGGAGGGAGGGCTTTACCAAAGGGGTGGTTTGCACTGCATCTTAAAAGATGAGTATAATTTGGGTGTATGGAGAGTGGGGGAGTCTCAGTCCTGGCTGACTCGAGTGTTTGTAGAAATGGCACGTGCAAAGTTTTGACAGTTGGGATAGGAAAGGCATTTTGAAAGTGTGAGTGGTGTGGTCAGGCTGGAATACTGGATTTTCAGGGGAGTGGCGAGATTGGGATGATGGGCAGGAATGGGTTTTACAGGTTACAGAGCTCGCCTGAGTACTCCCTCTACCTCCTTCCCCCTCCCCTCTTTTTCACTTCTTCCCTTCCCCTCTTTCCTTCCTCCCCCCTCACACACAACATCTCATTCTATTTCTTATATCAACATTTTTAATTACAGTTGACATACAATACTGTTAATTTCAGGTCTGCAACCCAATAATTAGGCATTTGTATAACTTACAAAGTGGTCATTCCGATGAATCTAGTATCCATCCGACACCTTACATAGTTCCCATATTTCATTGCTGTACTTTAAATCCCCATGACTGCCAATTTGTACTTAATCTCTTCATCTTTTTCACCCATCTCCCCAACTTCCCTCCCATCTGGCAACTGTCAAAATGTTCTATCTATGAGTCTGTTTCTCTTCTGCTTATTCATTTATTTATTTTTTAAAAGATTTTATTTATTCTTAAAGAGAGTGGAAGGGAGGGAGTAGGAGGGAGAGAAACATCAGTGTGCAAGAGATACATCAACTGGTTGCCTCTTACATACTCCCAACTGGGGAACCTGGCCGCAACCCAGGCTTGTGCCTGACTGGGAATTGAACCTGTGACCTTTTTGTTTCACAGGTGGGCACTCAATCCACTGAGCCACAACAGTGAGGACTATTTTATTTTTTAGACTATACATTTAAGTGAAATCATTCTTGTATCAATATTATTAGGTGGATATTATTATTTTTAGTATTTGGATAAGAAAATCAGAGAGACTCAGGCCAGGGTTACATAGCTTGTAAGAGTCTAAGTAGTCATCCCATTCACCACTAAGAATTCTTGAATGTGGGCAAGAAGCTGGACTGGGCTGGGGAGATTATAGAATTAGCCGGGTGGCTGATTGAACCATATAGGGCAAGATGGTGCCATGTGATTAACAGCAGAGCCTTGAGTCATGTAGTATGGGTTCAAAGGCCAGCTTTGTGACTTGTTAACTGTGTGACCCTGGGCAAGTTGCTTGATCTTGCTAAGCCTCAGTCTTCTCACCTGTAACATGGGAGCAGTAATACCTAACCTCGTGGGGTTGTTATGAGTATCAATGTGGTATATCTGGCACAGAGCACTTGCTTACCACCTGGAAGCTGTTGTAATGAGCTCTCTGTAATTAGTCTCTGAGCTATGGCTTTGCACCTGCATCTCGTTCTTCAGCACATTGGTTTCCAGGACACAGCTCATCCTGGCTGGGCTTGTTTTATTAACAGTGACATTAAAAGTGCTGAAATTTCGCCACCAGTAAATATTTATTGGAAACTTAATATATTTGGCATAGTCTAGGACTAGTGACTCAAGACCTCTGCTTGATGGAAGGGAGGTTTGGAATGGGAGATGGTTGGTTATGGGTTATTCTCACCAGGTGATGAATGGAGAAGGATACTTGAAGCAGGGAGAGAAGGGGTTCTTTCATTACCAAGAACTGAAATGAACTCAGTCTTGCCTGGAGGTTGGGGATGACTGATACAGTCTCTTTTGAGCCCAGGAAATGATAGTAGGTGCCCTGGACAGCCTGGGTCCCTCCCACTGTGGGGCTGAGGGGACCTCTGTCCATTTCTTTTCCAGGTGATGGTGACATGGCTGTGCCCCAGGCTTCCCCACTGGGGCCTTTCCATGAGCCTGCAGGTGCCCTGATGGAACCCCAGCCCTGCCTTCGAAGCTTGGCTGAGGGCTTCCTGGAGGAGGAGCTTCGGCTCAATGCTGAGCTGAGCCAGTTGCAGTTTTCCGAGCCTGTGGGGATTATCTACAACCCTGTGGAGTATGCATGGGAGCCACATCGCAGCTACGTGACCCACTACTGCCAGGGCCCCAAGGAAGTGCTGTTCCTGGGCATGAATCCTGGACCCTTTGGCATGGCCCAGACTGGGGTAAAGGGCGTGCCTGCCCCTGGTGGGTGGAGTGGGGGGCTCCAGGGTGGATGCTTGGCTGTGTGTGCTGTGGAGGAGGAGCATGTGTGTAGCTGTGGACACATCTGAGTGCATGGGGCTCCCATCCCCTCCCAATATACACACTGGCTCCTGTGGGTCTCAGACACTCTCCTGGCCTCACTGCCCATAGTTAATCAAGGACATTAATGGTAGTTCTATTTCCCCTGTGCACTGTCCACTAATTGCTTCTGAGAGCCCTTCCTTCCGTCAGCCCCGTCCTTACCTTACCTTGCTGGATCTCCTCTCCCTAGAATGTGGTTGGGATCAGGAGAGGGACAAGGACTACTGAGTCCTCAGGAGAACTGGCTGACAGGGGTGGGTATGGAACTAATTCGGGGTACTCAGGCAACCTGGGTTCTGTTTCTTAGCTGAGGAGAGGTTCAGAACAGAGCCAGGCTCCAGGGCCTGCCTGCTTATCTTTCAAACCCTAGGATGAGTGACTGCCCCTTGGTGGGGGGTGCTTGGCAGGTGGGGGAGGAGAAGAGGCTTCAGGGCAGGAGTCTCAATCGTTTTTATTGACCCCAACTTGGGGATGAAAGGTGATCAATGATGACCGATGGAAATGATAGCCTGAGGCTTGGGGCTGACAGGACACCCAGAGAGCAGTGGTCAGTGGTCAGCCCTGTCCTTGTGCCTTCTTTAACCTTGGCAGCCTTTCTGTCTCAGACCATTGGTCTGTCCTCAGTACTACCCATCACACCCTGTGAAGGGCCAGATATCCTCGTATGCTCCCTGCACATGACCCCAGAGGCTAGTGGGGATAGAAGCGAACAAATAGATTCTTCTGGACCGTGGTCCACAATGAAAAATTGGAGCAAGAAGGACAGATTCAAACTGCCAGAACAGGAATCCTCATCTCAGGCCTTTGGGTGAAGGCAGAAGGGTGTGTGCATGGGGCATTTAGGCTGGATCTTTGTGGAGGGTGAAAAGGGGTCAGTTGGTCCAGAGAACAAGTGTCAGGTCTTCAGTTTGAAGCCCTCATGTCTCTCTCCTTCCCCACAGGTACCCTTTGGGGAAGTGAGTATAGTCCGGGACTGGTTGGGCATCAGGGGCCCTGTGCTGACCCCTCCCCAAGAGCACCCTAAGCGACCAGTGCTGGGACTGGAGTGCCCACAGTCAGAGGTGAGCGGTGCCCGGTTCTGGGGCTTTTTCCGGAACCTCTGTGGACAGCCCGAGGTCTTCTTCCGTCACTGTTTTGTCCACAATCTGTGTCCTCTGCTCTTCCTGGCTCCCAGTGGGCGAAACCTCACCCCTGCTGAGTTGCCTGCCAAGCAGCGAGAACAGCTTCTTGCGCTCTGTGATGCTGCTCTCTGCCGGCAGGTGCAGCTGCTGGGGGTGCGGCTGGTAGTGGGAGTGGGGCGGGTGGCGGAGCAGCGGGCACGGCGGGCTCTGGCTGGCCTGATGCCTGAGGTCCAGGTGGAGGGGCTCCTTCACCCCTCGCCTCGGAGCCCACAGGCTAACAGGGGCTGGGAGGCAGTGGCCAAGGAGAGACTGAATGAGCTGGGGCTGCTGCCACTGCTAACAAAATGAGTGCCCCTGGGGCCCAGCACAGGACACATTCAAGGCTCTCAGGTCCTTCTTGGGCAAGCAGATGACTACACGCCTCTTGGAGTGGAGCAAGAAGGTCTTCCTCATTGTCTGGTTGCTGGGACCTGCCGTGGCAGTTTTGACACTACTGTTTGCCCTCCTGATGCCTGTTTTCTTCCCCTTCCTCTGAGCATTGCCTTTTTGGTCCTGTGCTGCCTAACTCCACCGAGAGGCAGCACCTGCAAACTGCTTACTTTACTGTTTCCTTGGAAGCCTCTATTCAGCTGAGAGTGACTTCCAAGGCCATATTTGCTGTTTTAGAGGAAAGATCCTGCCAGGATTCCCACCATTCTCATAGAACAGTGTTCTTCAGCTGACCCCTTTCCTCACAGGGACCAGGGCAGAGCATGGGACATGGGCATTAAAAATGAAATTTTTGTGGAAGACTGAGCCTGGATCAGAGAGAGAATTCAATGGGCAGAGTGGGAAGGGCTCGAAGGTCTTTTGAGACTTGTGAACTTTATGACTTTGGGCAAGTTGATTGACATCTCCAAGGCTCAGATTCCTGATCCATAAAGTGGGAATCCCTACATACCTCATGGGGTTGGTGTGAGGATTAACTGAGGCAACACTTAAAAGTGCCTTGTGTATTGCCTGGCACATGGGTGCTCATCACACTTCTTTTTACTTGCCCCCTCTGGGCTGGGGAGTCACTGCACTACTACAAGGGCAGCCCTTCTACTTGAAGGCCTTGCTAAGCAGATAGGTGGGGGAGGAGATGTCTTGGCTTCTACGTGTGGCCTGGGTGAGGGTCAGACTTGCCCTGCCAGGGCTGGGCCAATGACTTTATGAAAAACCCAATCTGTGATTTTTCAGTCTAAGCATTAAAAGCTCCTAAATCCTTTTGTGTTGGTGCTTTTTTTTCCTCCTCTTGCATGTCAGGGGTGGAAGGTGATAGTTTAGATTTTCCCTTCTTACCTCTTCTCTGCTTGCAAAGGATTCTCTTGGGCAGCTGGGAGATGATGTAAACAGATCTCCAATTGCCTTATCAAAGCAGCAAGGTCTCTGTTAGGGGCCTGCCCAGTGGCTCGTCTGCTTCTTGGGGCACTGCAGCAGACAAGTGCCCCACTGGGTGGATGGGAGTCTGGTATCTGTAGCTAACTCATTTCTTGTGAGTCTGTTGCATGGCTGATTGGTGTGCCCATCTGGTCAGGTCTGGGAAAGTGAATCCAGTTGGGAGCAGAGCAGGTCCTGAGACTGCATTCATGAGGAACACACGGACTCTCCTGGGACAGGTCATCTCCAGCTTTCAAAATTAAGATTTTTAGTATTGAGTGTCTGAGTCCCCCCCATTTCTCCCCACCCCACATTGTATAATAAAGAATTTGGCCTTTGTCCTTGATTTTTTGGAGGGAGCCTCTAAATCCTTGGAATTTCCCAAGTGATAGGAATTTCTTTGTTGTTCATGGTGGATCACTCAGGCCACACCTGAGTTTTGATGAAGTTTGACTCAGGATGAGGGTGGCCACGCCAGAAAGACCAACCTTGTAGTTAGAGGGTAGGGCTTTGAGCTAGATGATATCAGCCTCCATGGAGGGGAGGGGGACTAGAGATTGAGTTCAACCATGAGGTCAATGATTTCAATCAGTTATGCCTGCATAATGAAACCCTAGTAAAAATTCTGGACCCTGAGGCTTTGGTGAACTTCCTGGTTGGCAAACACATGGATGTTTTGAAAGGGGGATGTGTCATGATTCTGTGGGGAAGGGGCATGGAAGCTGTGTTTGGGACCCTCCCAGATCTTGCCTTATGTCTGTTCATTTGGCTGGTCTTGATTGGTATCCTTTATAATAAAATTATAATTTTAAGTAGAGTGCTTTACTAAGCAAATTGAACTTGAAGGGCTCATGGAGGCCCCTGCATTTGTATGTAGGTGGCCTGGGGACTCCCAAACTTGCAACTGGCATCTGAAATGAGGGCAGTCTTATTGGGGACTTTGCTCTTAAACCTGTGGAGTAGGGCTAACTCCGGGTGATTAGCAACAGAATTGTACTACAGTTTTGTACCCCTATATGCCTTAGATGTCTTTTCCCTCTCTGCTGTCAGTACTATAGTGATAAGTAGCCATTGCTCCATGTTGCAGAGGACTGGATTAAGCACTGTGGAGTACTTCACAGAGACAGAGGCCATTGTTCCCTTATGCATTTAGCTGAGGCAGTCAGGGAAAGCTCTCTGGAGGAGGTGGCATTTCAGGTGGCTTTAGAGGAAAGTTTTGGAGAGCTTAGAGAAGAGCATTGTTATGTTCAAGGGGTAGCAAGTAGACTAGCATTGACTTGGCCCAGTTGGGAGGGAAAGCTGGAGAGGGAAGTGGGGGACAGTTTATGAAGGGTCTTGAATGCTAGACTAACTTTAGAGAATTTGAAGTCCAGTTGGGAAAGTGATGCACAGAAAACACTCAGAACACCCAACAGTAAGTGGAAACCCACAGATTGTGATGAAGGGACATGCCATAGCAGACAGTGTAGGTGAAGGGGTCAGAAGTAGAAAGGGAGGGGGTTAATGTGTAGGGAAGACGTCATGGGGGATAGTAGAGTCTGGGTGAAAGCTTAGAATTGGGGTGAGTGTCATGAGATGGTGGGGTGGGGTGGGGTGGTACAATGCACAGAGGCCCTTGAACAGCAGTGACCAGGGTGATGACTTGAAGACAGGTGTCACGGAATCACTATTCTTGGGGTGCATCTTGTCAGGGGGAGGCTGGTTAGGATCCCGACATTGCCTTTTCCCAGGGGGATTGTGCTAGTCTGCTACCATAACAAAAATACCACAGATGGGGTGGCTTAAGCAACAGAAATTTATTTTCTCACAGTTCTGGAGGCTGGAAGTCTAAAGTGCAGATGTCCTCAGGTTTGGTTTCTCCTAGGCCGCCCTCCTTGGCTTGCAGATGGCTGCCTTCTTCCTGTGTCCTTCCATGGCCTGTTCTCTGTGTGTGCGCCTCTGTGGTGGGTCTCTTCTTATGAGAACACTGGTGCTATTGGAGCAGGATCCACCATGACCTCATTTGACTTCAATGATCTCTTTAAAGTCCCCATCTCCAAGTACCGTCACATTGGGGGTTAGGACTTCAACGTATGATTTGCGGGGGGGCGGGGGCGACACACACAATTCAGTCCATTATAGGCACCTAAAGTGGTGTCACTGTTTTTTCTGTCCCCCACCAATATCAACCTCTAATAAAAGAAGGTACTCAGGAGTGCCTTTTTTCCAGCCTAGGGGTAGAGGCTGGTGAGGTGGCTTAGCTGGCTGACAGACCTTAATCCACCAACTGGCCCACACCCCCAACTCATTCTAGAGCAGTTTCTTCAGTATATGTAGTGTCCTTAGGAAGAGGAAGCTCATTGTTTTTGTCTGAGCCAAAGGGAGTGGAGACTTAAGCTGCTACAAAAGTATTTTAAAACCAAATTGAAGTGATTTGGGATCACCTAGAGTCTTACAGTCTGATACAGTAGGCACTAGCCATGTGTGGCTGTTTAAGTTTGAATTAATTAAGAAAAGTAAAATAAAAAGTTCCATTCCTTAGTCACTAGCTGTATTTCAGGTGCTCAGTAGCCACATGTGGCTAGTGGGTACTGACTGGATGGCACAGATAGGAAACATTCCATCATTGCAGAAAGTTTTATTGGACAGCACTGATAGAGAGATCAGTAGTTTACAACCCTGCCTGTGAATCAGTCCACCTGTGGAGGTTTTAAAGAAGGCAAATGTCCCAGCTCCACTTACGAGATTTTGATTTGGGAGGTCTGAAGTGCAACCTGGTATCTATCTTTCTCTTTGTACTACAGCTCTGTAGCCAAGACTAAGACAGGATATTGCACTAGTGCCTTGAAGGCAAGAAGTAGGTCTCTTCTTTTCCCCAGCATGTAACCCCACACCTGGCACAAAGTATGTGTTCAGGACAAGCGTGCATGTAGTGCAGGAATCTGGTTTTGGAGCCATGCCTCAGAGTGCCCATGCAGTAACATGAATGTCCACAGAGTTGTTGCTTTTTCCCAGTGATGGTGATTCAAATTCTGGTTCAGAGGAGTGATGGAGGTTTAAAAATCTGCATATGTGCCTGCACACGTGCACGCACACGCACACACACAACACTCACCTTGACAGAAGCCAAATTCTGCTTGGGGCTGGCTGGGTGCTTCTGAGACTCTGACGGATGGAGTGTGTTGGAGAAGAAAGAGACTCTTCCTATTCTTCTTTCCCTTACTGAAATAGGATGGCTTAAAGAAAGATTGTCCTGAATTTGACCACTGTGTGGTCATTTTCCTTTCCTAATTCAACAAACATTTATTGATGTCCACTGAGTGCCATTCCCCCTGCTAGGCACTGTAGGGAGTGACAGAGGTGAATTAGGTGGTCCTTTGCCCTTACGTTGCTCACTGTCTGGTGCTGGGAGACACAGGCATATAATTATAGTATAAATCAAATGGAAAACGTGTGTGAACAAGTTCTAAACACAGTGCCCTGGGCACACTGACTGAGGAAATGATTAGCCCTCAGAATGTAGGTAGGAGGTGTGTGTGCCTGTGAAAACAGGACGGTGATTGGAGAGTTGTTCTTTCATCATTTGTTCAATCTTGTGACTTCTATGGACTGGCTGTTCAAAAAGCGGGCCATTATGTCAGATCTCTCCAAGAAATTTTTGGGCCCAAACTGCAAGGGGATAGAAAATAGGGTGAGGGGAGGAGCTCCGGTGCCAGGAATTGGCAGAAACCAAGGGTTGGGCGTTGCTTTATGGGAGACAGGAAGTGGGGCTTCCTCTTTGATCTCTTGTTATGTGAACCTCCAGGATGGAAAACTACACCAGGTTGTGTCAGGAGATGTCCAAGTGCTGGAGCCAAAGGAGACCAGAAACTCAACCTGGGCATAGCTGTGCAGAAAAAATACATGGAATGGAGGAAGGGAATAGAGACCATGGCCCAGCACAGACTACACCTTGACTCTTCAAATATTCTTGTTTAGGAGGTTGTAGGCTAGCTGTTTTCTATTTTTTTCCTAATGCCCCAAAGAAAGAAATATAGTAATTTCAATTGGAGCATGAGACATTGAGGTTAGACACATGGATAAACTTCACTATGACCACCAGGTGATGCAGAAATAAATTGCTTTGGAGGAAGCTGAATTGCTTTCTTCTACAGAAGCCTTAGTGTCAGTCTGGCCCCAGCCTCACCTCACCAGTCAAGGTTGAATTATAATGTATTTGGGGAAACTAACTTTCCCTCCTTGTTGTGACCCCCATTCTGTCAAAAACAAAACAAAACAACCGCAGTAAAAATTCCCTGCATACCTTCTTGCCCATTCTTCTGCCCCTACACTAGGTCCAGCTTGCAGAGGGGGTGGCTGAGAGCCCAGAACAGTCTTGCATGGTAGCCTGTGCCAAGTCAGGTTGCCATTTCCATTTTCGTTAATTGAAGCAGCTTGACCCTTATCATTTCAAGCCAGCAATTTCCTGTCTACAGTTGGGAGTGTGGGGAGGACATGCCTCTGCAGGTGATTCTGTCCTTCCATCTATCTTGTTGGTGCTGACTAACTCCTAGTCCAGACTGCAGAAATGGCTCTCCCATTGCAGTTGACAAAGGAGAAGCCCAGTGTCACACAAATGCCCAGCCTCACCTCTCGGCATCTCAAACTTTCTGTCTTAGGAAGGCCTTCCTGGTGTCTACCCTCACGCCTGCCTGTTATAATTTTGGCTCAGTTTGTTTGTTTCTTTGTTCAGCTTTAAGGAACTTGGGTGACCGATACAGTTGCCTGTCAAATCCTCATCAGGTGGTACCTTCTGCTGTGGCCTGGGAAAAGAACAAGATGACTTTGAAGGAAGGGTTTGACTTCCAGCTATGGAAAAGCGCACAGTGGA